TTATTGATAGAGACTGTCTCTCAACGGGGCAGTATTTGACCGTTTTAGTTGTTATGCTATCCCGTCGGGGAGGAATACCCTCTATTGCCGACGAGTTCCAACCAGTTAATAAGGGGTTGTTACTGTTATTAAGTATATTTTCCGTTAACTTAAGATGTTTCCACACATAGGAAGAGCAGGATCAATAACATGTTACGACGTAACTAAACCCCAGTTATCCAGTGTAAATATACCTTCGGTAAACAACTTTCTAAACAAAATATAAGTATATTTTTTTTATTCTCCCTGAATTTTAGGTGGTCTTTCCGTCATCTTTTTTCGTGTACAACGGCCGAACTTCAGACCCTTCTCTTCCCTTCTTCTCTTTCCTCCCTTGTGTCATCCATGTGTCCTCCATGTCAGTTGTACACACAGGCACGCCTTGTTATGGGGGTTGGACATCAAGGTACTCACTAACTATTTGTCACTAGTGATGTGTTCGGGGGGGTCTTAAGTCTTGTACCTGTGTTAGGAGCGCAGGCCCTCCTTCGTGGTGTCCCCGGCTCCCCACCCCCGGCGTCCGCTCCAAGGCCGGTACCTTTGCCCGACAGCCTTCCTCCGGCGTCCTCTCTCGTCCCCGGGGTTGCTCCGCTCCCGTAGGGTGGCCCCCACCCGGTACCTTGCCCGGGCAGCATCCTCCGGGGACCATCCGGCAGCTCCGCTTGCTTCTTTTGTAGGCGGTCGGCATCATTCGACCCAGCGACTCGACGCTGCACGCCTGCCCGCACTTATAGGGCCACCAGGGGTCGTCCCTCCTCGCGTCGGGCCGGTCGTCCGCTCGGCGTCGCGTCGCCACCCGTGCTTTAGGGCGCCCTCCGTCTTCGTCAGAGGGGCCCTCCGTCCTCGTCAGAGGGGCCCTCCATCCTCGGGCACCTGGTCCGGTTTGCCCAGGTCTTCACGTGGTGGGTCCGCGGCTACTTCCACACCCGCTCCAGGCTTCCGACAACGCGCTCCGCTTCCTTCTCCGGTCTGTCCCAGGGCTTCGTGCGGTGGGTAACCGGCTACTTTTACACTCGCTACAGGCTTTGGCGCGGAAGCTCCACCACTTTTTTGCTCTCCCAGGTTTGCTCCGGCTGGTCTGTACTAGCTTGGAGTGGAGTCGGTGGTTTCCTTTTCGAGTTTTTCCAACAGGACCAGGTGCAGTTTTTTGTTCACCGCTTTAACGCTCTCCTAAGGTGTGTTCAGTTGGTCTGAACCCGCTTGGAGGAGGAGGCCCGTGGTGGTTTTTCTCAATTGTCAGTCTACAATTTGTCTACCTGTTACAGTCGGCAATAGGCGATTCGGCAATCGAGAGTCAGTAGCAATCGACGATCGGGCAATCAGCAGCAACAATCGGCAATCGTCGGCAATCGACAAGCAACAATCGGTAATTCGACAATCGGGCAACAATCGGGCAAATAACAAGTCGGACAGCAAACAAATCTGCCGGCAATCAGCGTCCAGCCATCTCGGGCAATAAGCTACAACAGTTCAGGACTCAGAGACGATCCGGCGCGCACTGAGATGGGTCCCTTCCACGGCGACCACACCCCGGTCGTGGAGTCCCATTTTGCGTCCCGCCGGTCCTTCTTGGCAAGTCGAGGAAGCCGATTTCGCACCCCGAGTTGTGATCGGGCACAAATCTTTCGTGACAGACCTGTACGTCGGCGTACAGACCTTCTTTGTCAGGCACTTGTTCTTCAGCCCAGAAGCATTGGATCTGTCCAGCGCATAGCAAGGGTACACCAGGCCTTCGAACGACAGGAGGTCACGGCCTTGCTACACCCTTCGCTCGCAGCAGGCCGGTAAGGCGTCTCCTGCGTGGCTCGGAGTCGGGCACACCGTGCTAGTCGGGTGCCTGCAAGTTTTTGGCCGTCAACTATTTTTCCCGGAAAGATCGGTAAAAGCCAGGCAGAACCCTTAAGACGCTCTGAATACAGGTCCGAGGTGGCCACATCACGCTCCTTCCTCAACCCCGCCACGTAGCTCAACGTTCAACCGAAACTCTCGTCTTCGTAAACGTCCGAACTTCAGCCCTTCTCCTCCCTTCTTCTCTGTTGTCATCCATGTCAAGTTGCTACACATAGCAACGTCGGGTATGGTTGACATCAAGGTACTCTACTATTGATACCATGTCAAGTCGTCTTTTCGTCCTACAACGTCAAGGTCACGAACTTTCAGCCGCCCTTCTCTTTCCCTTCGTTCTCTTGGTGTCATCCATCGTCAGTGTATACACATTCAGTCTGGTTATGCAAGCGTTGCCTGACATAAACTAGTGTACTCAACTTCCTAATGTCTCCGCCTTTTGTCAGTAGTGTTTATAGGAGACACGAGCCAACTGCCATAATCCGTCCATAAGCTTATGCGACAACTGACTGTCTGACACGCAGGGTCTAGTGTCTACGCATAAGAAACCTGATAATTGTACATGACTGTGCTCTAACAAAACTAACAGTCCTTTAGCTGGACTAACACAAACCATGTGACGTGTCCTATGGCGCGCGTCGTACTCTCCACGTCGCCCTCACGGTCAGGCAGGCAATGGGCAGAAACGTCTCGATAAAGTACGTGGTCTTCGAACTCCGATCGGTACAACAGAGTGATCGTAAACTGGCCAGAGGGGCTATGAGGCGCCTCCAAGTTCCATCAATTTTTCTTTTTCACCGGAGACGTGACAAACCCTCGATAAACCCAAATGTCAGCAGCTGTCACATCCACGTACGGTCCGGATTACTCTCTGTCTCAATGGTAGCAGAAATCCTTACAGGTGACAGCGCCCACTCACTCACAACTGTAAAAAATTTAGCGATTACGTTGACCAGGCATCGAAACCACAAGGCTCCAGTAAGACCTGACCAAATTTTTGCTTTCGTACATGCACGTTTGTAAGTCGCCTCATGTTATCGGTTAGCTTAAGTATACCTTAACACACCAATTGTGGAACGTGCCTTTGTATAACGATCTAATCAACCACTTAGGTCCTCGTGTGAAGATAAGTTTCACTTCATAATGAGCCTTTATACAAATACATGACTACTATAGTGACAATTGGAACTTACCGCGAGTCACCTTGATCGAAGCAGCCTGTAGATCAAGTTTGCGCAGGACATCGCGCTAGACGTTCATACACGGTTATACCGTGCAACACATGTACATACGGTCGGTAACAAAAAGTAAACTACGACCGTCCGCAGCGATCGAGATTCCCAAGCCCGACCAGTTAACATACGTCAAGGCTTGTATTATTATATGGAAAGCTTTGTAGTATAAACGGCGGCTGCGGTGGAGCGAGGTCTGGCAGCTTGGGTTCAGTAAGCGTATCTTATATGCGCATATGCGGTGCCAATTACAGT